ACATACACACACACATACACACATACACACATACACACATACACACATACACACATATACACATACACATACATATACATACACATACATATACATATGTAGAACTTGGCACTCACCCTTTACTAAGTAGATCAGATAAAATATTTTTTTGCACATGTAAATTTGCATGTAAAATAAAATAAGCACATTTGAAGACCTGTGAGTGCACCTTATGTTCATATATTTTTTATATATATTTCCTGACCATTATTCATGGCAGCATTTACTCATGGGTTAGCTCCTCCCCTTACAGCAGAAAGGACAGGAAATAGAACTCTGAAACTGGTATAAATAGATCCTCCCCCTTCCCATCAGGCAGTCTTTTTTCCTGTCCTTCACAGCAGTTTGGAAGGAGTCTGCTTAAGCAGGCCTAGATTTTTTATTTTATGCTCACCAGGCAATATTTTTTAGGCCGTGCCAGGGTTCAGCCTCTAAGCCCTGAAGACCCAGCAAAAACGCACTAGATTAAGTGGCTGGCCTGGGTACCCCCTTTAGTGACCGGGAGTCGGACCCAAACTCTCCCATGAAAGGGATGAAAATGGTCCACTGCATGCCAGGGTTCAGCCTCTTATCCCTGAAGACCCAGCAACAGGCCAGCTTGGGTACCCCCTCAGGGGATGTATGTGATATAATGCCTACATGAAGCCAGGCCAGGGTTCAGCCTCTTATCCCTGAAGACCCAGCAAACAGCATATCGGTAAGAGTCGTCAGCCTGGGTTCCTACTTCAGCAACCAGGGGTCTGTCCTATCTCTCTCGGAAGTGATGACAGCGGTTCACTGCATACATGAGGCCCAGTTGAGTCTAAGCCCTTATCCCTGAAGACCCAGCATACAGCACATGTGTAAGAGTTGCCAGCCTGGGTACCTCCTTCAGCAATCAGGAGTCTAACCTATCTCTCTCCCTGAGGGGATGACAGCGGTACATTGCATACATGAGGCCCAACAGAGTTGTGACTACCGGGGTATACCTATTCTATTGCATGGTGATGATGATGGCATATGGGGTACAGATGGAAGCCTATAGTTTAAACAGTTTAGGCTGTCAGTTGTTCAAATCCCCATTTTGCCGCTGAAACACAGGCCTGCAACGGTTCAGGTAAGTGCATTAGTAATTAGATTAAAACTAGTATAGGCACCTGGGTCTCTGTTCTTGCAGTCCCTCCCAGCTGCTTACATTAGGCTTCCTTCTAAAAAATAGGTCACATTTAGGAGATTTGTGTGGTGAACATTTAGGTAAGTTTATAAGGATGTTTGGTGCAAAAGAGTGCTAATAATAAGTATGCATTGGGCATAGTAGTGCTGATAATGCAAAAAGAGTGCTGATAATGCAAGGAGGCATTGTGCAAAGGAGTGCTGATAATGCAATGAGACACTATGAAAAAGAGTGCTAATAATGGATATCCTGGCTGTATAAAGTCTGCTGGAATTCCACAGCCTGAAGACAGAGAAATATCCAAGGTAAGAACCTTCTTGGGTGTCTGATTAAGGTACACACATGTATATGACAGGTTTTAAAAACCTAAAGTCCATACACACACTTGTTTCTATCAAGGTATGTGGCATTGATTGCTGTTATATGCGCATTATCACAAATAAGCAGGCTTTGCAAACAGTGGAGAAATATACTGCACAGGAGACCACTGGGCCTCAGTATCTGTACATGGTCTGGTGGTGGTACAGCATTGGTATGTTTCCACTATATGCTCTAATGTATGAATTGGTATGAAGTCTCAGTGTGTGTCCAGTATATGCTCTAGGTATGAGTTACTATGAGGACACGGCCTCAGTATAAGTATCCACTATATACTCTATGTATAAGTTACTATGAGGACACAGCCTCAGTATGTATGTATATGTGTGTGTGTGTATATATATATGTGTATATATGTGTGTATGTGTATGCACTATATGCTCTATGTAGGAGTTACTATGAGGTCTCGGCCTCAGTATATGTTCCCACTATATACTCTTGGTATAAATTACTATGAGGACTCGGCCTCAGTATATATATGCTCTATGTAAGAGTTACTGTGAGGACACAGCCTCAGCATGTGTGTGTGTGTATATATATATCCACTATATGCTGTATGTAAGAGTTACTGTGAGGGCACAGCCTCAGCATGTGTATATATATCCACTATATCTTGTATGTATGAGTTACTGTGAGGACACAGCCTCAGTATATGTACCCACCATATGCTGTATGTATGAGTTTCAATGAGGACTCTGCCTCGGTATATGTATCCACTATATGCTCTGTGTATGAGTTGCTATGAGGACACAGCCTTAGTATATGTACTCACTATATGCTGTATGTATGTGTTACAAGGAGGACTCTGCCTCAGTATATGTATCCACTAGATGCTCTGTGTATGAGTTACTATGAGGACACAGCCTCAGTATATATATCCAATATATTGTCTGTGTATGCGTTGATCATGAGACTCTGCCTCAGTGTGTGTTCTTTATATGCTCTGAGTCGCTGTGAAAACACTGCCTAAGTATATGCCCTCTACATGCTCTATAGGTAAGATGGTGTGGAGACATTGCTTCAGTGTATCTGTTCTCTATATGACTGATATATTAGTGGAAGCACAATATTTGTTAATGATATAAGTACATCTGCTATATGAGTCCTATCTAATACTGGTTCTATGTGTGGGTTGTGAGTCACAACCTCAGTATATGTGAGTGGTATATTATGTGCATGAAGTTCTGTTAAAACACAGCCTCATTTTATCTCACTCATATAATCTTAATTTGTGTTCGGGGCAAATAGCCGTATATGGAGTAAGGATCCAGCATAAGCGTAGGATAGTATAAAGGGAGCAAGTCGGTTGTGGTGTGCCGAGACCGACGATACGGTAGGCCTGTAAATAAAGAGGGCAAAAAAGAATAATCAAAGATTTAATACAGTCAACAATATATACAAATTAACCAGACATTTCCTTAAATGCATTACGGTATTTCATTCCTGGAAGGATTTTTGAAGGTAGGAATCTAGGACCGCAACTGGACACCATTTGTTGTGGGTAGGATAGTATGTTATCTCTACTGTTGGTGCGTGTTGACTCGTTTCGGAATGTGGTAGTGCCAATAGGTAATGATATATGTGTTTACATACGTGGGATCGTTGAAGACAATGATCTGTCTGAGTGGTGGTTATGGTAGTGGATTCTCTGGCCTGAGAAAGGCATAAAAGACAGTGTGCATGGTGGTAATGGCCAATTTGGTAGTATAATTGAATGGTTGTAGCTCTAATAGGTACGATAAGGATGGAAAAGTTGGATGGCTATTGGTAATATCTGAGAGGAACGTGGGGGGATGGATTCCTGAAAACCTCTGAGTATATTCTTGTCTGGTATGATAGCATGAAGTTATGGTAGTTTTGGCCATAGGTTATCCTGTGTTGTTGAATGCCTGTAAAATATATAATTAATGGTGTGTGAGATGGTTTTAGTTTAAGGTGGCAAAAATGAAGCAAAACCTAGGAGAAATGTTATGACACAGGTTGAGCTATGTCGTGTTCCAATGAGATTCTTTAAAACCAGGTGAATAGGTGTTATGCGTTCTACAAGTATGGGATGAAAGTGCTAGGTGGGATAGTGCATGCTATGCTGCATGAGTATGTCTAATCCATGATTTTGTCTCTGGAACGAAAGAGTGGTCGTGACTGTATGGGCGGCTGTAGGAAGCGTATGATGAACGTGCCTGGAATATAAATGAGACAATTGTCGGCAAGGATGTATACCCCCGCCTGGTACATGAAAGTAAAGGAAATGTGGTAAGTGGCCAACCAAGTGAGTTCCCCAGCAATACCATGATCGTATGGATGATGAGTGGCATTTGTTGATGATATGGCATGTGCTTAGTTGTCTGAGTAACAACGGATTGATGACCCTGACCATGATTTACCCCATGCCACAGCAGCTGCTTTTAGCGGGGATAGGATTGCCCATTTTATGCCATGTAAGTGCCAGTTTGTAGGGTAGATGGTAGCAGTTTACTGTGTTGATGATATTGGTCTTACTTAACGAAGCTTCAACCCATGCTTGAGTGATAGCTGTAAAGGTAGATCAATGGTGTGTATAGTAAGGAAACTCCTTGGAGGGTATGAGGGAGTTGAGACTTGGGGTAGCGAAGGTGTGTAGTGCCAATAAGTCTATGGTTAGTCTTTGTTTAAGGGACGATTCCCTTGTGACAATACCAATGTGTTTGGTGCCATGCTGTAAATGGTGGAGATTGGAAAACCCAAGTAAAAACCCCTCTGCAAATCTTGGCTATGAGTGTGTTTACAGCCGACGGTTCTGTTGTGCTGACTGTAAGTGAGGGCATACTATATTCCTTGAGAGTTTATTTATGATACCTGTATGGGAGCCCTTTGAAGCTCCAGACCCTTAGTAAATATACTACAAGTCTGGAAGGGTGATGAGTCAGTAGTGTTGAAAATGCATTGGTGTGTACGTTACTTGTAAGTTGCATTGGGACACATGGTTTGTCATGTGCCCTAAATGATTTGAACATATATGCAACAGTCTATATGCAATGCAACTACTAATACCAATTGTCTCTGGTAGTTCAGAGGTGCTGGTACCTGGAGCCTGAGAGTGCTCGCCCGTTTGTTTGGGAGAAAATCCCTTCTGGATGAGTACCTGCACAAATAAGCATCTCTACATATTCCAAATGCCAGCACAACCAAGGGATGGTCAGTTCCCGATTTAACTAGAATCCCTGGGTCTGACCATCATAGATACATCATCATACATATATATGCCTTGTTTCCCCAATGTGCCGGGATCATATGTGCAGGGTTAACGTCTTGAACCAAGTAACCGAGTTTCAGTTGGTGCTGGTTGTACAGTAGCGTGAGGCGCAGCCTTGTGAGGGCTGTGACTGACTCGAGATTGCCAGTCTGTCGTAAATTTTTTGGCTCATGAGTTTATGAGTGAGGCTAGCATGGCCTGGGTGTCACCTGAGTTGGTGTTGCTGGGCCTTCCCCTGCCTCCGTGTTGTCCGTTGATGTATGGAGGAGTTTGAATAACTCTGCTTTCCTTGCTGTGGCAGGGTAGGGGATTTGTCGCCTCCTTAGGTCGGAGCCACATCTCCTCTGCTTGAAGGTGTATCACTTCTAGCCGGGGTGCCAGGAAGAGGTGATTCTTCACCATCTTTTTGAGAAATACTTAAATAACAATAAAGATTGCAATTATATATTTGTACCCATGGGTCTTGTACCGGCATGCTAGCTAAGCCGTAAGGCGAAACGATTAGGCTTGGTGTTTTTTGGTGACTGGTGAGGCCCTGCTAGTTGCCAAGTGGCTTGAGAGGCTCTATCTATGCTTGGCGCGAGGGGATTTTGTGTGGCCACCGAACGTTGTGGCAGGATGTTGGCCTCTCGGTGACAGTAACCAGAAAAATAGGAAGGGGAGTGACAGGTGAGGCCCTCTCTATGATACAATGCGAGGCGCTAGCTCACGAGTGGCCCGAGGGGTGTATGCCTCCGAGTGTGAGGCGGGGTGTTGGCCTCGCGGGACCACTAACCGAAGCATAATGCAGAGAAAAAAGGGGGTAATACCTATTGGGCCCTAGAACCCTAATTGCCGGTACACTATTACTATTCCAGGGAAGGTAAGAGATGGATAACTACATGAGCAGGTGTACGTACCTGGTAGTTGGTATTGAACCTGACAATCCGTATAGGTTTTTTAGTAGTAACTGTAACCTGAATGGATAAAATCGTATGGCATAAGGAAATATGGCATAGACCAAGCTTATCTTAAAACATACAGTATATGTGAAAGTAAAGTGCCGTGATATGTAAATATTAAACATCATATCCATACTGGTTAAATATGTATCAATCTTAACCCATTAAGTGCCGTATGTAAGTGAACCATATTACCAGTTACATATATACAGATGCGTGTGCTACTGTGTAATATGTGTATTTATAACAGATATTTATATACTGCTTGCTATGTGAATTGTTGTATGCCTTATTGAATGGCAAGTGAACATGGAGTTGCAAAATGTAAGTGCACTGGAGATCTGCCGAGTGCCCTATAGGTGGCAGTGTAGTTGATACTGATTGGTATGTGAAATGTTGTTTGTCTGTTGACCTATAGGGGTCAGTGTTTTGGTGTTTGTAAAACCCCATGAAAAACCCCATGAAAATTGTCAATGTACTTGACAGACCTGTAGGTGGCAGTGTTGATAGAACCACTGTTAGTCTTAATGTGAAATGTAAATTATTGTGAATTAAACCTGAAGTTGAGCCTGTGTTGGAGTTTAAGTCATGGTTTAAGGTTATGTTTAAAACAATCTTATGTGTAATTTATATTGGCTGGTAATTGTATATGACATGTGAAGACAGTTTTGCTGTTGACCAGTAGGGGTCAGAAATGCTGATTGTATGGTAAAATACCCTTTAACCCCTGAAGGATACATGACATGTGTGACATATCATGATTCCCTTTATTCCAGAGTTTGGTCCTTAAGGGGTTAATCCAAATGCAAGGTTAACGTGAGATTTTGAGAGTGACCTGTAGGGGTCAGTGTGGTTTAAGTGAAACATTGTTTGTGAGCTATGCCCCAGCATTATAGTTGTGTGACAGGGAAACAAAGTGCCCGTTTGACAATATACAATAAGTGAACATAATAGCTTAATAACAGTCATTGTAACAAACCAAAGTTCTGTTCATGGTTGTAAACGCACAAAGCGTGTGTGTAGTACAATAGTAAATGCATGAACTAGTACCCGTTTGGTAGAAAATTGCACGAACCGTGAGCCTGGTATGTCAGGGAAACAAAACGAAACGAGCAGTGATATTCAAAATGCACGCACAGAATTGCCTAGTATGTTTAGGCAATTGAAAAAGAATGTGTTCCCGTTTGGGAGTATGCTAATGCTCGAAATGAGCCAGTGACAGATATAAACAAGTGAATTTAAACGAATGATATGCATGAACATCCAATGGTTTTAGGACAGATTTAGACAAAATGCAGCCGTAAAGTGAGGACCTGACCCGTGCATCTTGCCGTGGGACTGATGCCTGGCGTAACGGGTAGGTCGACTTACGGTTTGTGAGTCACTTGGACACCATCCACAGCGATAGATTGAAGAAAGAAGGTGGTAGGCCGGAAAAGCCTGTGGCTGAATTCCTGACACAGCTCAGCTTAGAAAACCTTATGGAGTAATCAGGTAAAATGGCGTCTGGATGACCCGGAAGTGGAAATCATTCTGATGCTGACCTCAAGCGATATGAGTCAGGTAAGGGGTGTCCCTTATATAGGGGAGTGAATTAATTTAAGCCCCTCCCACAAATACAGGCCAAATGGCCTTAAAACATGTGTACAGGCATGGTGTCACTGTATATAGCAGATGTAGACTAGGTATGATTACTGTTTAAACAGACTCAGTATATGTAACTGATATATCTGTGTATAAGGTGCTGTTAGAAACATCCACAATGTATGTGATTCATATAAACTGTATGCAGATTGGTAGTATTATATGACCCCAATTTATACACGGCATTGGTAGATTTAATATATACAAATTATCTAAAGTCTGTTTTGCGCTGAAATGTAGCACTGCCCAATTCTAGCAAATACAAATGCACTGTTGCACTGGGTAAGTACCTATTGCCTACTGTGGATTTTCTATTTCAGTTTTTAAAATGAAGTAGATAAGGAAACATACTGCTTTTGGCTTTGTATTAGACTCCTTCTCCCACAGGTGTTTCAGGATAAGCAATTAACACATTTTACCACTTCAGATAGATTGCAGGTGTTACTGAACCTGTCTGAGTGCCTCTCCCAGGTGAGAAGGAGACCTGTTTTTCCAAAATGAAGCATGGTAATGTTTAACATAATTGTTTGTTCTTTTTGTGTGAATGCATGTATGCATGAGACCCATCTACAAAAGTTTTTCTATTGCCAGGCATCCTCTCCCCTCTGCTCGAGATAGGGTATGTTTTTTCAATTGGTGGCAGTGTTTTACCTTTAGATAAATGCTGATTATTATTAGATTATTAGATCATACTGGTTGCAGGAGCACAAATTGGGCTATTAATTGAGTTCATAAGTAGGTAACGCTGAAGCCATTACCTGATTTAAAAGCTGCTAATATTGTTTTTTTCTTTCTCCTGGTCTTAACCTTTTATTCTTTAAATCTGAATTAATTTCCTTAAAGCATAAAAATTTATATTCAGTATTCTCTTTTATCCCTTGGATACCTGAAAGTTTGGCAATACCTTTAGTATATGTCAGGGGTGGCATGCTTTTAGTTCTTAAGGAGTTAATGATCAGAAACTTCTGACAGATTCCCCTGTTGTGAAGGGGAACGTTATAATTTCCTTTCTGCAATAAAGGTATTCTTTTAGGCTCATATGCTCCAGGTAACTTTGATGCTGTGTATTGCAGGTATTTTAAGGTCATTCCAGTCCCCAGACCATTCTACCAGGTTTACTATTTCAGGTAAAATTCACCTGCTACAAGAACAATGGAGGAAATCCCTAAACAGGTAGTTCCATTACGGACCTCTTCTGATATTCATGGGGATTCTTCTAGGTGTCCTTATATCTGGAATTTGCAACCAATGTGTGGCTTTAAATGATTGATTCATCCTGCATAATGTAATGTAATGCAGCCTGTTGATGACAAACATTTGACTGATATGTTTTACAGGGTCTCTGTACCTAGATCTGTCTAAGTTATGGTCTCTCCTAACATTGCATTGATTTAATACTTGTGGATTATATGTTTGGATTGGTGTTGATATCTTGCAGATATAACAAGTTGCTTATTATCACCATAGGCTCTGCCATAAATACTTCATCACTATCTGAAGATAAGGTAAGAGTAAGTATGTGGTTGCTGTTCTCATAAGGATAACTGAATACTATCCTGCTTATTATGTGTCTGTTGCCACAATGTATAATGTGCCTCTGGTTACCACCTTCCCATCAGTATCTTGCCTATTATATATCTCTTACTTATGTTGCACAACAGTCTCTAATACATTTGATTATACTGTTTGGCATAATCTGTACTATTTACAATATGTTTATCTTTGAATGTAGGTTCTGACGTGGTTGGCCTCCTTATAATTTAGTAGTTGCCACAAATTCTATGTTTCATACCGATATTTCTTTTCTTTCCTTCAACTAATCTGTATATGATTCTTCTTGCCTTTGCCTAGTAATGTGATTAGTTTATTCCTCTCCTGTGACTGATCGTTGCTGTATCAATTCATCCACTGTGTGAGGTATTGTTGTGAATCTGAATTTTACAACATCGGGTCAATGTTGCAGTGTTTTAATAACCCTTATTTCTCTACTAGGCTCTGCCTCTTTCTGACAGGCAGATATTGATTTGTTCCTGTATCTTCAGGTAAGTAGTTCACAAGGCAAGAGGAAGCAGTGTGAATCGTATTTAATAAATACATCCAGTAAGTAGTAGGATTCTCAGTGTTATTCTCCCTGTGTTTAATAGCATGGTGTGTCCGTTCTCATCCAACATTATCTGCTTGTTCCAGTATGATCTCTGGAAGTTATGCCTTCGTCAAGGTTCTGATTTATTGATATCAATTTGGTTTTAAATTTTTATACCAGAATGACATTTTCCTTCTCTAGCTTATGCTATCATGGCCTTAATTCCTATCTGACTCTCTATATTCAGGATATTTCAGACATTGAATGCCAGGAGGTTGCTGACCTTGCAGCCTCTAGGGAAAATTATCTTGTCTGAGCTAGATTTTATGACAATTTCATATTTATTCTTGTTTGGCTTTGTAAAATCTTCTAAGATTTATAAAGCTCAATAATGGTTTTATAGCTATTAGCTGTTTTTGAACTCTGTCCCTCCCTATATATATATATTGCTTGGGTATTCCCCATGAGTAAATGCTGCCATGAATAATGGTCAGGAAAATGGAAAATTGTTCCAT